TAATGGGGCAAAACTGGGGAAGGGGCCCAGCTGAGCACCATACAAGAGTTGGGCTAATGACTTGGCTTCAAAAAGCTTGAGCGCTGCCGGTGTGAAGTGGCCCCCTCTTGTCCTGAGATATTTAAGATGGCAATTGAGCTCCCCTGCGCGGTGTTGGATACTTGATCCCCATGAGCTCTTCTGCTACCATTAGATTGGAAAACTACACCTAGATATTTGAAGGATGTAACTTGTTCAATTTTATGGCCATCTATGCTCCAAGAGTAAGTCCTGGGCCTATTAGCGAAAGCCATGATTTTGGTTTTATTGTAATTAAGTTGGAGCTGATCTGTGTTGCAATGTTGTATTAATGCTCTCAGAGCTCTTTTGAGCCCAATGGGTGTTCTAGAGAGTACAGCAGCATCATCTGCATAAAGCAGGATGGAGATGTGTCTTCCCGCCAGCTTTGGGGGGTGGGAGTCCATATTTTGAAGCTGGTCCACTATGGAGTTTATATAAAAGTTGACCAGCAAAGGGGCCAGAATGCAGCCTTGCTTGACACCCTTGCCTGTTTCAACAGCCTCAGTGAGTGGCCCTGTGGGTTGCATCTTACTTTGAGTGTGGTCTTTTTGTGAAGTTGGCATATTAGGTATAACTCAATTGTAGAACTCTTCAGTTTTTCCCAAAGTTTAACTTGCGAGATGGAATCAAATGCTGCTTTAAAGTCAATAAAAGCAGCATATAGTGAGGTTATGTTTTGGGAGGAATATTTTTCCACAAGGTGTTGCAACACTAGGCACTGATCTATGGTGGATCGACCTTCCCTGAATCCAGCTTGTTCCTCAGCTAATATGCTTTCTTGTTCCAACCAATCTTGGAGTTTCCATTGGAGCATCTAGCATATAGCTTGTTGATAGTGTTAAGGAGGCTGATTGGTTGATAGTTCGCAGGATCATCCTTTTTCCCTTTCTTTTTGTAGATGGGAACAATGATTGCAAGCCCCCAATCCTTGGGGATTTGGCCATGGTTGTCAATACATGTAAAAAGTGAGGCTAGGATGGGGGTCCAGAAATCCAGGTTGTTCTTGATGGCCTCTGCTGGGATAAGATCTTCTGCTGGGGCCTTGCCTGATCGTAGTTGGGCAACCAGGTTCTTAATTTCTGTAGCTGATACAGGTGGCCATGGTGGAAGGTTCTCTATATCGAGGTTGGGGCAGTCCCTTCCAGTAGAGGTGTCCATATAGAGATCCTGGAAATATGCCTCCCAAATCCCCGGTGGGATGTGGGAATCCACAATAGGTTTATCAGATCTTTGGGCATTTGATGTAATATGCCAGAAAGTGGCTGAGTCTTTCTCTTTGACAGCTTTAATAAGCTGAGCCCAGTTGTTTTTCATGGCTTCCTTTTTTTTATATATGCAAGCATTTGCTTGTAATGCCTCTTTTGTTGAAGGAGGTCTTGCGCTGCTGATGGTGAGGTATTGGACACGAAGGCCTGGTAAGTGGCAACAAGAGCATTTTTAGCATTAACACAATCTTTATCAAACCAGGGCTTGGAGTATTGCTGTTGCTGCTTCCTTGATGTAAAATTGTTAAACCTTAAGTGCTTCTGTATTTCTTGAGTGATGTTCATGTAGTTGTCAAGTAGTATGTTGGGGGATGTTGACGATGTCAAGGCAGTCTGTAGACCCATTAGTTGATCAGAGGCTAGAACCTCAGATATTCTTTGGTTCAGACAAGGAGTCCATTTGACCCTGACATGGGTTCCTCCTGGAGGTGGTGGGGAGGGTTGAAAGCATTCCACTGTGTGGGTATTTTGGGAGAAAGAATTTAGGTGCAGCAGGACAGGAAAATGATCGCTGTCAAACTTGGGCTTAACTTCCAAGGTTTTAGCATATTGAAGAAGGTCCCTTGAGATGGCTATATAGTCAATGGCGCTCATTTTAGAGCCAGAAAGATATGTAAATTCCGCTGGGTGATCACCTTCCAGAGCACCATTTAAGATGTGGAGATTCAGTTGTGATCTTGATTGCGCCAAACACAACCCTGCAAAGTTTGTTTTTTGATCTTTGGAACAACGGGTTAGAAGTGGAACCTCATATTCAGTGGCAGAAGGAAGGCCTTTGTAACATTTAAAGAGTGTGGCATCATCAGGTCCCATTCTTGCATTGAGATCCCCTCCCATAAATTACAGAGGCATTTGGGTTCTGTGCCATGAGGTCTGCAGCATAATTTTCCAGCTCTGACCATAAAGCTCTAGTTTGGGCCTTCTTCCTCGTTGGAGGCAAGTAGACATTTATTATCATCAAGGTCTGATACTTAAGTTGAATTAGCACTGCCATGGCAGTTGTTTTTAATGAGGGAAGGGGCCTTGTTATGGTACGTAAAGTGGTAGAGACTAAAATCCCTAATCCACCTTTGGCTCTTCCATATGTAGCCCCTGGCTCTGCCCCTACACAATACGAGTGGAATCCATTAGCTATCAGATCACCTACTGCCCAAAATTCCTGGATCAGAATAATATCATAGTGGGAAAGAAAGTCTATAAAACAAGGGTCTCTAATGGATGCGAGCCACCCAGCCACATTCCATGTCAGTAGGCTGACCCCGTGCTGGTCCTGTAGCTGTCATAGTCCTAAGGGGTCTGTGGCCTGGTCATGATCCTTCTGCATCAGGTCCAGGTCCTTGTTTGGTGAAAAAGAAACCTGGCCTTCTGATGAAGGGGCTGGATGGATCAATGCCACATGAGTAATGAAATGTGGGTCATTGGCGAGTAGAGAGCCAAACTCATTTGCTGTCTGTAAGCCCTCACGTGTGACCGGTGGAGAGGCAAGCTCCATCTGGGTTTGAGGAGAGTCTATAGTATGTGGAATGTTTAAAGCAGCACCTGCAGGAGTGTCTTTGATCTGCTTTTTGGTTACTTGTGTCATTACCGGGGTCACAGATGGGTCTCTATCATTGTTGTTTTCTTTTGCAATGGTCTTAGAGGGGGGGGGCTTGGCTTGGGAGGCACCGTGAAAGAATCTGTATTAGGGTCTGATTGAAGTTCCAAATCAATGTAAGCAACTGCTGGCTGACAATTCCTGTTGTGGAGCTGTGTTAACTGTGTTAGGTTTCTTTTTTGTTCTTGTGCATCTAATGTATTTAGAGGAATGAGATGATTGACTGTCAGATCCTTAAATACCCTACTGATAGTTATACTGTGCCTGTTCCATAAGATGTCCTTTATTTGAGCTAGACGACCTGGAATTTCAAGGGAGTTGAAGGTAAGGAGGATTCGTTTTACACCATTCTGTGTTGGAAGAAAATGGTGATCTTTTAAGTCAATAAGTTTGGGCTGGGTTCTGAGCAAGTAAGCCAGTGATTTTACATTTTGTTGTTTATGACTCCAGCCCAAAGCATTTTGATTGAGCTGCAGAACTATCTGGGTATTTTGCAGAGTGAGGCATGCTTTAGTTTCAACTGTTGGTTTATTACTGTGATTTACAGTAGCTGTGGTCAGAGGAGCGTCCTCCGCATGTGAGCACCTGGGCGTCTCTGCAGGCTTGACTCCATGAAAACATTGTAGGGGATGCAAGTCAAGTAGCCTTTGAATCTGTTGTGAGATTTCACCTAGTCTGTTCAAAATCAGCATCATTGATTCCACTGACAGCAAACATATCTCCCGATATTTCTGCATATCATGGTCTAGGGAGGGGCTGCACCCCGGAGAGTTCAAATGACCATTATCTCCATTACCCTCTGGCATTTGTCCTGGGCTTGTCTCCTGGTCAGAGAGGGGGGAACCCACATTAAGTGAGTTTATCGAAGGTGTTATCAGTGCTCCGCTACTCACAGTTTGTGATGTTGTTGCTATATCCGGAGAGTTCGGAAGGTAAGCATCCATTCTCATCTGTTTACGTGCTTTTGGTGATTTATGGGACCCTGTTCCATTGCTGGGGCTGGTCCGGGACCTTTTCTTACCCTTGAGTGTCATTTTGGGTTATAAATCCTGGGGGAGTTGTGGAAAAACAGCTATTTCCAGGAGCAAATTCCAGAGCTTATCTTAGCTAATCAGGTGGTCAGTTGAAACATTCACACCTAGCTCCAGCAGACAAGAGTCCTTTGTCCCACCCTGGTCATTCCACAGATATATAAACCCCTTTTCCTAGTTCCAACAGACCTCTGAGGATGCTTGCCATAGATGCAGGCGAAACGTCAGGAGAAAATGCCTTTAGAACATGGCCATATAGCCTGAAAAAACCTACAACAACCCAGTGATTCTGGCCATGAAAGCCTTCGACAATACATTGTCATAAAGTTATTGTAAACATTGCTGTTGATATTACAAGTGAGCACTGAACTCTCATATTTAAATCTTGATATGGTAGATATTACACTGAAATATTCTGTTTCCAATATGCTCTTTAATATGCAAATGCTGTATCCTGTAGAGTGAATGTAGGTTGACAACACTTTAATTGGTGTGACTCAATGCTATGGAATCCTGGGATTCATAGTTTAGATACAAGGCTGATAAGGTCTTGTAAAACTACACCTCTTAGGATTCCATAACATTGAACTATGGCAGTCAAACTGCATTCATGCTACAGAGTAGATTAATGCTCAATGTCCTCTTGTGTTCTGGCAAGAGATTTTCTATCTCTCTACGTCAAGCTTCCATTCTTTACTTCTTCACAAGTAAAACCAACCAAAGAGAAGGCTGAGAGGAGATATGATAGCCATATATAAATATGTGAGAGGAAGTCACAGGGAGGAGGACACACAGTTCAGGTTGATAATAATACAATGGATTGGCGAGAGCAATAAAACAAGCATTTCCTCATTAGGAGAATAACATGCAAATGACTTAGAATCATAGAATCATAGAATCAAAGAGTTGGAAGAGACCTCATGGGCCATCCAGTCCAACCCCCTGCCAAGAAGCAGGAATATTGCACTCAAATCACCCCTGACAGATGGCCATCCAGCCTCTGTTTAAAAGCTTCCAAAGAAGGAGCCTCCACCACACTCCAGGGCAGAGAGTTCCACTGCTGAACAGCTCTCACAGTCAGGAAGTTCTTCCTCATGTTCAGATGGAATCTCCTCTCTTGTAGTTTGAAGCCATTGTTTCGCGTCCTAGTCTCCAGGGAAGCAGAAAACAAGCTTGCTCCCTCCTCCCTGTGGCTTCCTCTCACATATTTGTACTTTTCCATCTAGCCTGTCTTCTGAAGGTACTTTACATTTTATAATAAAATGTGTGCATCCCAGTTTTTAAAACACATTAATACAAACAATGCAACATTTGAATGAACAAAAGCTCAATCCTATGAAATCTGAAAATGAGCATCTTTTAATTTATTTTGCATAATTTGTTCTGTTTTTGTTACAGCAAAGGAAAAAGATATGCAGACTTTTATCCTGGTCACAGAATATTTGATTTCAGTACTATCTGGATTTCCAAGCAAAATCTCCCAAAGGTTACACATTCAGGAAAGCTGAAAATTTAATTCTGTGCCCATTTCCCCACTTTGTGCTGTCAAGGAAAAAAACCACTCATATACACAGCCCTGAGTATTACTATCAACCTATTCTAAATATTGCACAAGGACAGTGGCATGCCATTTTGATGTGAGCTCCAACAGAGAGAGGTTTAGACATAAATTCAGTAGAGTTGGATAGCTTTGGTTCGTAAAAACCTACCAAATTTTGGCTTCTGAAGCAGTTTTGAACCATAGAAGAAGGTGGGAAGGGCAAATCCGAAACTGAACCACTTGCCTTTTTTTTCAGAAAAATTCCATAATGTTCGGATTTCTTCCAAGGTTATTTCATTCCTTCCTTCTTCGGTTTTGCCCTTCTTCTTGTCCCTCTCGCTCGCGAGGGAGAAGAAGAAGGGGGAAAACTGGAGGAGGTAATTCCTTCCTTCTCCAGTTTTGCCCTTCTTCTCCCTCTCTTGGCTTGAGCCTTGTGAGAGATAAGAAGGGGGGGGGGGGGGAACAAGAAGGAAGGAATTAACTCCTCTGCTTTTCTCTCCTGGCTGGTGGCCTGAGGTGCAGTGGGGAAGGCCTGCCTGCTGCTGTTTGCGTGGCTCCGGTGGCCAGGGAGGCAGGCAAGCACATGGGCCAGGAGCAGCAGCTGCACAAGCGCTCCAAGTCACGGGAGGGCAAGCGGAGCCGAAGGAACACCCCCAAGAAGTGAGGAAACACTGTACTATGATTTCTTTTCTCCACCAATTTAACACAGTTTGTGCAACACAAACAAAATTTCTGGAGTGGAGCAACTACTTTCAAAGTAAAGACCACCAAATGAAACAGGAAATAACATTTTTCAAACCATTAACGAAACAATTCGTAAGTCTCGAAAGTTTTGAAAAATTTTGAATTTTTTTCTGTGAAGATTGGAATTGACTTAGAATCGAACCACCAGTGCCCCCTACATCCAAAACGAGTTTTGAACCTTTTTTTTGGATCAACCAAGGTTAATATTCAGCGGTGGCCAAAAGAGAATGAATGCTGTGAGCATTTATTCAGATCTTACCACATTTTCCATCATGCTGCACTTGTCCTGTACTGCAGGGTTCATGTCCTTCAGGGACAGCTTTAGCTGCCTTCTGAGCCACTTCATACTCGGTCCCAGAAAACTGAATGTAAAATTGTTGTTTGTTAATAGATTTCCTCAAGGTTTTGATTGCTGTTTGTAGCTTCTGTTCCATCCTTTTCCTCAAACAGTCAAGGTTACAGGTATCTAATTGGAGAAATGATCAGAAAGAAGGATGGTTCAAATTCAAGATAGCTCCTTGAATCCTGTTGACTTTGCCAACTGCATTTCTACGCTGGTGGAGATAGAGGAGTTGAAGTGGATTGCCAGTTCAGGACCATCTGAAGCCTTCACATTTTGAACCAAAACCCAAGATCTAGGGACAACCTGCTTGTGATATCACTGGAGGCCAGCCTGATTATGTCATTGAGCATGATACATTAAGCACTAGGCGGGTGTGAATCCATTTTGTTTTTGTTTTGAATTTTGGTACCCCCCCCCCCCTTTCTGTTTTCGGGAAGATTCTGAGAGATTAGGAGGAGAGCTATTTAGATTCGTAATTCAGAACCCTGAGTTTCATTTCCATTTTGGTGAAAGTGTCATCCACATCTGCAGCAAGGATCCTGGAAAAGGCAAAACTTCCCTCCAGTAACATTACAAGGAAGGCAAGACAAGCCATCAGAGACCTCAACTCAGATCCTGAGATCATCATTCTCCCAGCAGACAAGGGGAATGCCACAGTATTCATGGATACAGAACAATACAAGGAGAAGATCAGAAAACTCCTGGATCCTACTATATACAGAAAGCTTAAACAAGACCCAACTTCCAAAATAACCAGGAAAACCAACACTTTGATTAAGAACTCCTCTATCAACTTCGATATACGACAACAGCTATGTAAATCGGAAGCCCTTCCACCCAGGCTTTATGGACTCCCAAAAATCCATAAGAACTCCACCCCACTCAGACCCATTGTGAGTGCCATTGGATCCCCCACGTACGACTTACCAAAATTTCTTGCTGCACAGTTACAAAGCCATATTGGGCTCACTACACGCTACATCAAGGACTCAGTCAACTCCATAGAAAAAAAATCAACAATCCCAAGCTAAATACCAATGACAAACTGATCAGCTTTGATGTGGTGTCTCTATTTACCATGGTCCCGGTAGAAGACACCAATGAACTAATCAACCCTAACCAGACGTTCCCAGAAGACATCACATCTCTGTTTCACCATTGCCTCACCACCAGCTACTTTCAGTGGGACAATGAATTCTACGAACAGAAAGATGGAGTAGCTATGGGGAGCTCTCTCATCCCGGTCATAGCGAATTTCTACATGGAACACTTTGAAAAACAAGCCCTGGAAACAGCAACAAAAAAGCCCACTATGTGGTTCAGATATGTGGATGACACTTTCACCATTTGGAGCCATGGAGAAGAAGAACTAAACAGTTTCCTGGACCATCTTAACAGCATCTACCCAAACATCCAATTCACCATGGAAAAAGAAAATGAAGGAAGACTGCCTTTTCTAGACGTCCTAGTCATCTGTAAACCAGATCAACAATTGGGTCACACAGTTTACCGAAAACCTACACACACGGATAGATATCTACATAAAAACTCCAGCCATCACCCGTCAAAAAAGAAGCACCATTAAAGCCTTGGCAGACCGTGCAAAAAGAATCTGCGAACCACACCTCCTCCAAGATGAACTGAACCACCTCAACGGGGCTCTACAGGCCAATGGATACTCCACCTCAGACATCAGCAGAGCCGCTAGACCGAGAACAAGCCATGAGAGTCAAGATGAAGATCCACCCAGAGGAAAAGTGTTCTTGCCATACATCAAGGGTACCACTGACCGCATAGGGAAGCTGATGAGGAAACACAACATACAAACTATCTACAGACTCACCAAGAAAATCCAACAAATGCTACGTTCAGCAAAGGACAAGAGGGATCCTCTCACTTCTGCAGGAGTCTACCGTATACCATGCAGCTGTGGACAAGTCTACATAGGGACCACCAAATGCAGCATTGCCCAAACATGAATCAAGGAACATGAAAGGCACTGCAGACTACTTCAAGCAGAGAAGTCAGCCATAGCAGAGCACCTGATGAACCAACCTGGACACAACATATTATTTGAGAACACAGAAATGCTGGACCACTCTCACAACCACCATGTCAGACTACACAGAGAAGCCATTGAAATCCACAAGCATGTGGACAATTTCAACAGAAAGGAGGAAACCATGAAAATGAACAAAATCTGGCTACCAGTATTAAAAAGAACTCTAAAATTAGAACAGCACAACAACAGAGAGAAACAAACAAGGACATCTAATCACCTCTCAACAAAAGATTGCTCCAGGCACTGCCAGGCAATCAAATGCTAATCAAGGTGATCAGTTGAAACATTCACACCTAGCTGCAACAGACAAGAGTCCTTTGTCCCACCCTGGTCATTCCACAGATATTTAAACCTTTTTTCTTAGTTCCAACAGACCTCACAACCTCTGAGGATGCTTGCCATAGATGCAGGCGAAACGTCAGGAGAGAATGCCTCTAGACCATGGCCATATAGCTCGAAAAAACCTACAACAACCCAATGGTGAAACTGTAAGCAGGGATGATGCAATCTTAAGCAGTTATTTCCATAAATAGAAGCAGAAAGAAAGAAAATGTGCCATATAGCCCGAAAAAACCTACAACAATCCAGTGATTCCGGCCATGACAGCCTTCGACAGCTTTACTCATGTTCTCTGGACTTTTTCTTATGTTGATGTATAGCTTCCATTTTATTGTTGGAAAATAAAAAGACTTACATCTGTGGGATAATGTTCCAAGGGGGACAAAACTTGTTTTCTATTCTTGGAACAGGATCGCTCATTTTTTATCAACAATGTTCCTGTAAGAGGTGTAAAACATTTTTACACCTCTTTTGGATACAAGCCCATCCAAATACATAATATACATTTTGCTAACAGATAAATAAATAGTGTGGTGAGTGAGGCATTTGGGGGTGTGCGGTTTGCTCCAGGCAATCATTCTCATGAGCAGGCAATCATTCTCATGAGCAACACAGAAGGCAAGAGGAGATGTTTTCCACCAACCTGAGACTTCTTCAGACTTCATCTCCATTTCAAACTCAGCGGTGATGTGCGATACTTCCTTCGATGGTGATTTTCGTCCACGACGTTTTTTCTTAGAGGAGTCACACTTCAAGTTCACAAAGGCTACTGGGCAGTTGTCTGTACAAGGAAATTGGCCTCCTTCACATGACAGGAACAACATGGGAAAGAAATCAATGTGCAAGGTAGCATTGCTGCATTTGTATTAGTTGTATTATCATGAATGAAGAGTAAGGAGAAGCCAATAGAGGCTAATAAGATCTTAATTGCTTATCAGAAATGCCTGCTTAGTTATAAGACAGCATTAAATCAATGTCTTCCTATTAAAATACAAATTTCATCTGATCCCTTTTTCAGCTCCTGAGCTACAACTTTGATATTTATCCCAAATAGATAGTAAACATTACAAAAAATTACTCCGAGCAGAAGCAAAACATAAACGCTTGGGTGGATGAAGCCTTGCTTTTGGATCCAGATTCCAAACTCAAAGAAAATATAAGGATGCATCTACATTGTAGAATTAATGCTATTCGACACAACATTAATTGCCATGGCTTTGTGTTGGTCATTGACCATAATAAAGTTTTGTATTGTATTGTATTATAATTGCCATGGCTCAGTGTCGTGGAATCACAGAAGCTGTCGTTTAATGAGGCACCATCCTCTTTGATAGAGAAGGCTAATTTATTTATTTATTTATTTTATTTCTGATTTTTCTATCCCATTCCTTCTCAACCCCCAAAGGGAGATTCAGGACAGCTTATATTTGGCAGCAATTCAATGCCACTACATATAACAGAGAAATATAATAACAATTAAAACAATAAGTAAAACAGTAAAAAACAGTATTAATAGCTACATCATCATTACAGTCAATTCCATATCCAATTCCATGTCTGAAGTGCTATGCCTGTTGTCCAAAAGCCTGGTCCCAGAACCACGACTTCAATTTCTTCCTAAATAACAGGAGGGATGGAGCTGATCTTATCTCAGTGGAAGCAAGTTCCTCAGGCGGGGAGCCACAGCCGAGAAGGCTCTGTCTCTTGTCCCCGTCAGACGTATTTGTGACGCTGGCAAGAGCAGGGCCTCCCCGGATGATCTTAAACTATGAGGCGGGACGTAGATGCAGATGCATTTGGACAAGTAAGCTGGGGCTTTATAGGTCAAAACCAGCACTTTGAATTGAGCTTGGAAGTGGACTGGCAGCCAATGGAGCTGGCACAACAAGGGGGTGTTATGCTCCCTGTATGTCACTCCACCGGGATTGTGGCGCAGCTGGCTGAGTGTCAGCTGCATTAAGATCACTCTGACCAAAAAGGTCATGAGTTCGAAGCCAGCCCGGGTTGGAGTGGGTTTCCAACCAATTGTGTGTAGCCTGTTGTCGACCTTTGCAACTCGAAAGACAGTTGCATCTGTCAAGTAGGAAAATAAGGTACCATCTTAAAGTGTGGGGAGGCTAAATTAACTGATTTATGAGGCCATAAAGAAGACCCCAGCAAAAGCATTCCAGCAGGGAAGCATGCGGGAATGCGGAAGTGCTTCATCAGCGTCGCAGATGGACGATGAAAGCGACAGCTCCCTTGGTGGCCAGAAAAAGTTAAATAGCCTCTGTCTATGTCTGTATATGTTGTATGTCAAAATTGGCATTGTTTGCCATATATGTGTACACTGTAATCCGCCCTGAGTCCCCTGCGGGGTGAGAAGGGCGGAATGTAAAAGCTGTAAATAAATAAATAAATTAGCAATCTGGCTGCCGCCCGTTGGACTAGTTGTAATTTCCGGGCAGTCTTCAAAGGCAGCCCTACGTAGATTGTGATGCAGTAATCTATTCGGGATGTAACAAAAGCGTGGACCACCGTAGCCAGATCACTCCCAAGCTGCGAATCTGCATCTTCTGGGGGAGTATAACCCCATCCAACACAGGCTGTAACCCTAATGACATATAAAACTATAGCTCCCAAGATTCCATAGCATTGAACCATGGCAATTAAAGTGGGGTCAAACTGCATTTATTTTACAATATAGATGCAGCTTTAGGGCCTTTCACACAGCCATATAATCCAAAAGATCAAGACAGAAAATCCCACAATATCTGCTTTGAACTGGGTTATGTGAGTCCACACTGCTATATATTCCAGTTCAAAACAGATAATGTGGGATTTTATTCAGCTGTGTGGAAGGGGCGTCAGTGAATAAAGAGGAGACCACATGCATCTGCCCAGGAGTATAGCCCTCAAAATTCCATGGCAGAGATGCCAAAGAATTCTCTAATTTGAAGGCCCAAGAATAAATAAAAATAGAAAAACAGTGAACAATGAAATAAATGAGAGATAGCTTCATTGGAGACAACTTTTCCCCCATGATAACTCTTCCAGGAGTGAATAGTCTTTTCTAGGGGTAGATTTATCTCACTTCTTTTTGTCTCACCCCCATTCTTAGCTATGAGTTGTTTGTATGTCGGATGTTTGTAACTCGGGGACAGCCTATACATGCTTTATTGAAAGGCAGGTGCTGGAACGGTTTCCAAGTTGTGTTCTTTTGCTCACTGAAACATGTTGCCTGTTGAACTTTGGAGCTGTCCAAGGTACAAAACAATCTCGTATTTGACCACAGACCCTCTCTTTCTCTGTGTGCTTTTTACAGAATGCTCTCCACCTCTTTGTTACCAGCATTCATAGCCAGTCACCGGTTGGCTTCTTCAATGCCTTGGCCAAACTCAGATTTGAGTCTAATCTTTAGAAAACAAGATTGATAAGAAATAAGCTTGCAGTTTCTCAAGTTACTCCTGACATAAAAGCAATGTCATTAAAAAACAAAAAACAAAAAACGAACACTGAGTTGTTTGGGTATGCTTTGACTGCAGTCTAATATATTATTATTGACAATTAACATCACATTTAGGGTCTAAGCTAAGGTTAGGGATAGGTTTTAGTATGTGTTTCCTTGGGTGACAGCTAGCTTTTTTTTTTGATCAGAGAAAAATCAGTCACAAGTATATTTGCCCATTTGTGCTTATTTATTGTAACATCCTTCTTTCCACATACCTATAACAGCCTGCTGCTTTCCAATATCCTTTATTTTTTCTTTGCTACGAGGCCTCAAGTGACACTTTGCATCCTTGATTTTAAAACGAGCCTTCTGTTTGATTGGAGGTGCTAGTATGTCTTAAGAAAAAGAAATCAAACAAGTTATTATCATTGGTGATGTCTTTTTCAGGATATTCAAAGACAGATCTGGTTCCTTTTGGTAGACTAGAATCATAGAATCATAGAATCAAAGAGTTGGAAGAGACCTCATGGGCCATCCAGTCCAACCCCTGCCAAGAAGCAGGAATATTGCATTCAAATCACCCTTGACAGATGGCCATCCAGCCTCTGTTTAAAAGCTTCCAAAGAAGGAGCCTCCACCACACTCCGGGCAGAGAGTTCCACTGCTGAACGGCTCTCACAGTCAGGAAGTTCTTCCTCATGTTCAGATGGAATCTCCTCTCTTGTAGTTTGAAGCCATTGTTCCGCGTCCTAGTCTCCAAGGAAGCAGAAAACAAGCTTGCTCCTCCTCCCTGTGGCTTCCTCTCACATATTTTACATGGCTATCATATCTCCTCTCAGCCTTCTCTTCTTCAGGCTAAACATGCCCAGCTCCTTAAGCCGCTCCTCATAGGGCTTGTTCTCAGACCCTTGATCATTTTAGTCGCCCTCCTTTGGACACATTCCAGCTTGTCAATATCTCTCTTGAATTGTGGTGCCCAGAATTGGACACAATATTCCAGGTGTGGTCTAACCAAAGCAGAATAGAGGGGTAGCATTACTTCCCTAGATCTAGACACTATATTTCCTATTGATGCAGGCCAAAATCCCATTGGCTTTTTTTGCCGCCACATCACATTGTTGGCTCATGTTTAACTTGTTGTCCACGAGGACCCCAAGATCTTTTTCACACGTACTGCTCTCGAACCAGGTGTCCCCCCTTCTGTATCTTTGCATTTCATCGTTTCTGCCTAAGTGGAGTATCTTGCGTTTGTCACTGTTGAACTTCATTTTGTTAGTTTTGGTCCATCTCTCTAATCTGTCAAGATTGTTTTGAATTCTGCTCCTGTCCTCTGGAGTATTGGCTATCCCTCCCAATTTGGTGTCGTCTGCAAACTTGATGATCATGCCTTCTCGCCCTTCATCTAAGTCATTAATAAAGATGTTGAACAGGACCGGGCCCAGGACGGAACCCTGCAGCACTCCACTCGTCACTTCTTTCCAAGATGAAGAGGAAGCATTAGTGAGCACTCTCTGTGTTCGTCCACTTAACCAATTACAGATCCACCTCACGTAGTTTTGCCTAGCCCACATTGGACTAGTTTCCTTGCCAGAAGGTCATGGGGGACCTTGTCGAAGGCCTTACTGAAATCCAGGTACGCTACATCCACGGCATTCCCCGCATCTACCCAGCTTGTAGCTCTATCGAAGAAAGAGATCAGATTAGTCTGGCATGACTTGTTTTTGATAAATCCATCCTGCAAGGAAGACTCCAGCAATACATGGAGAGAGAGTTGCCAGATGTTCAAGCTGGGTTTAGAAAAGGCAGAGGAACGAGAGACCAAATTGCCAATATCCGCTGGATAATGGAGAAAGGCAGGGAGTTTCAGAAAAACATCTACTTCTGCTTCATTGACTATTCTAAAGCCTTTGACTGTGTGGATCATAATAAATTGTGGCAAGTTCTTGGTGGGATGGGCATACCAAGCCACCTTGTGTCTCTCCTGAGGAATCTGTACAAGGACCAAGTAGCAACAGTCAGAACTGACCACAGAACAACAGACTGGTTCAAGATTGGGGAAGGCGTACGGCAAGGCTGCATACTCTCACCCAACCTTTTTAACTTGTATGCAGAACACATCATGCGATGTGCGGGGCTTGATGAATGCAAAGCTGGGGTGAAAATTGCTGGAAGAAACATTAACAACCTCAGATATGCAGATGACACCACTCTGATGGCCGAAAGCGAGGAGGAGCTGAGGAGCCTTCTAATCAAGGTGAAAGAAGAAAGCGCAAAAGCCGGGTTGCAGCTAAACGTCAAAAAAACCAAGATTATGGCAACAAGAATTATTGACAACTGGAAAATAGAGGGAGAAACCGTGGAGGCCGTGACAGACTTTGTATTTATAGGTGCAAAGATTACTGCAGATGCAGACTGTAGCCAGGAAATCAGAAGACGCTTACTTCTTGGGAGGAGAGCAATGTCCAATCTCGATAAAATAGTAAAGAGTAGAGACATCAGATTGGCAACAAAGATCCGCCTAGTTAAAGCAATGGTATTTCCTGTAGTAACCTACGGATGTGAGAGCTGGACCATAAGGAAGGCTGAGCGAAGGAAGATCGATGCTTTTGAGCTGTGGTGTTGGAGGAAAGTGCTGAGAGTGCCTTGGACTGCGAGAAGATCCAACCAGTCCATCCTCCAGGAAATAAAGCCCGACTGCTCACTGGAGGGAAAGATACTAGAGACAAAGTTGAAGTACTTTGGCCACATAATGAGGAGACAGGAAAGCCTAGAGAAGACAATTATGCTGGGGAAAGTGGAAGGCAAAAGGAAGAGGGGCCGACCAAGGGCAAGATGGATGGATGGCATCCTTGAAGTGACTGGACTGACCTTGAGGGAGCTGGGGGTGGTAACGGCCGACAGGGAGCTCTGGCGTAGGCTGGTCCATGAGGTCACGAAGAGTCGGAGACGACTGAACGAATGAACAACAACAAAATGTTGACTATTAGCGATGACTGCATTTGTTTCTAAGTGTTTGCAGACCTTCCTTAACAATCTTTTCCAGAATCTTGCCCGGTATCGACGTGAGGCTGAACGGACGGTAGTTGTTTGGGTCATCCTTTTTTCCCTTCTTGAAGATTGGGACCACATTGGCCCTCCTCCAATCTGCTGGAACTTCTTCCGTTCTCCAAGAACTCTCAAAGATGGTTGCCAATGGTTCCGAAATGACTTCCGCTAGTTCCTTCAATACTCTGGGGTGTAGTTGATCTGGCCCTGGGGACTTGAACTCATTAAGAGCGGCCAGGTATTCCTGGACGACTTCTTTCCCAATTTGGGGTTGGATGTCCTCCAATCCCTCATCCACTCCATCTTGCTGAGGTTGAAGACTCTCTTTTTGTGAGAAGACCGAGGCAAAGAAGGCATTAAGTAGTTCTGCCTTTTCCCTATCCCGTCAGCATTGCCCCATCTTCTCCGCGAAGAGGTCCTATCGCCTCCTTGTTTTTCCTTTTTCTACTGACATAAGAATAGAAGCCCTTTTTATTGTTTTTAATGTCCCTGGCAAGTCTGAGCTCGTTTTGTGCTTTAGCCTTGCGGACCTTTTCCCTACAGGTGTTGGCTATTTGTTTGAATTCTTCTTTGGTGATTTCTCCCTTTTTCCACTTCTTGTGCATGTCTCTTTTGTGTCTTAGCACAGTTAGAAGTTCTTTGGACATCCATTCTGGCTTCTTTGCACTTGTCCTATTTTTTCTCTTTGTTGGCACGGTTTGCAATTGTGCCTTGAGTATTTCACTCTTGAGAAATTCCCATCCATCCGTAACTCCCTTGTCTTTTAGTATCTGTGTCCACGGAATGCTGCTCAGCGTTTCCTTCATTTTTTGGAAATCAGCTCTCCTAAAGTCCAAAATGCGGGTTTGACTTGTCTTAGTTTCGGCCTTCCTTTGTACCTCACTTGCCCCTAAGGATCCTACCACTTCGACCGCATCGATCAGGTCCTCCATTTGTTAGGATGAGATCAAGAGTAGCCAATCCCCTTGTTGCCTCTTCTACCTTCTGGACCATGAAATTGTCTGCAAGGCAAGCAAGGAATTTGTTGGACTTGTACTCTTGGCCGAGTTTGTTTTCCAGCAAATATCGGGATAGTTGAAATTGCCCATGACTACTACATCTCTTTTCTGTGCCTGTTTGGTCAACTGTTGGCAGAAGACTTCATCAAGTTCTTCCTCCTGGCTTGGGGGTCTGTAGTAGACGCCTACAACGACATCTTCTTGAGTCCCAGTTCCCTTGATTCTTATCCAGATGATTTCAAGCTGGTTTCCCAGATTGCTGTCTTGAATCTCTTCTGCAGCATAAGAGTTTTTGACATATAAGGCTACTAAAGAAGAGCAATGCTGACTTGAAACACTTCTTTTCACCAGAGTTACAGGTTGTATAATGTTGAGGTTTTATAATGTTGACCGAGTCTAATTTTTTACAAGAACAATTATTCAACTTACGAATGCCTTGAAAGATCTCTCCAGCTACTACAAAAACAACCAACTGAAGCCTAACCCTGCCAAGACACAACCGTGAAGCCAACAGGAAATTGAAAGTCACCTGGGAAGGTCAAGAGCTTGAACATTGTTTCCATCCTAAATCTCTCAGTGTCACCCTAGATCGAACACTAGCATATAGGAAACACTGCTTGGACACCAAACACAAAGTAGCTGCATGCAATAACATTCTGCGGAAACTTACTGGCAGCATATGGGGTGCAGACCCAAAATTAGTAAGAACATCAGCCCTAGCCTTGTCTTACTCAACTACCGAGTATGCCTGCCCTGTTTGGCCTAGATCTGCCCATGCAAAGCAGCTGAACATAGCACTGAATGAAACATGCAGAATAATCACAGGATGTCTTAAACCTACACCTGTTGATAAACTCTACAAGCTAGCTGGCATTGCCCCCCACCCCAATGTGCGACGGGAAGTTGCTGCTAAAGGTGAGAGAAATAAGGTTGAACACTATGGAAACCATCCACTACATGGCTACCAGCCTCCTCCCAGTAGACGCAAATCAAGGAAAAGCTTTATGAGAACTATCACTTCTCTTGGTGTCCTCACAGCAACAGCAAGAGTATCCCTCTGGGCAGCTAAACCAGGAAATCCCAACTGGATGCCCCCCCACAAGGGTCTTCCTCCAGGGGAAAATCAACTTGGAGGTCCCTGAACAGACTCAGAAGTGGAGTGGGTAGATCAAAAGACAACCTGGCAAAATGACACTAGCTAAAAGAATTCCACACCTTGTGTGACTGTGGAGCAGAACAGACAACTCCGCATCTGTATGCTTGTCCACTATGCCCTGCCTCATGTACAGAGGAAGAATTGTTGGAGGTTACAGACAATGCCATTGCTGTTGCCCATTTTTGGTCAAAAGATATTTAGCCACCTGCGCTCCTTCTATTTTTATCGGTTTTATAATAATTTATGCAATGCTTTTGATATGAAATAAAAAATAAATGAGGAAATGTGAAGTGGAAAGTTCCAGAATGTACTAGGGAAGGCAGGGACATTTGTATAACTGGAAAACATTATAATATATATTTTGATGAACAACAGAAAATACAATGATATGAAAACAAAGAAGCATGTTTTAAGAAAAACCCATGTGCAAAATTGGGTCTCTGATGATTGAAACAGAATCAGGATGTCAAAATCTGCCAAGTGTAGAAAAGAGGCTTAAAGGGACAGACAACGATTCCTAATGGTTTACTTATCACATGGGATGAGGTCCTTAGGACTCAAAGAAGAGAAAGGATGGAATTGTTAATCATAGTAGGAAGGAAATACAAGGTCGTAGGCACTTCAATGAGCCTCAGAACCAAACAGCTGCATATTCTTCCTGCAGTTATACATTCTAGAACAGGGGTCCTCAAACTTTTTAAACAGAGGGCCAAGTCACAGTTCCTCAAACTGTTGGAGGGCTGGATTATAATTTGTAAAAATATGAATTCGTATGCACACTGCACGTATCTTATTTGTAGTGCAAAAAACACTTAAAAACAATACAACAATTAAAATGAAGAACAATTTTAACAAATATAAACTTATTAATATTTCAATGAGAAGTGTGGGCCTGCTTTTGCTTGATGAGATGCTGTTGTTGTGCTTTCAAGTTGTTTCAGACTTAGGTTGACCCTGAGCGAGGGCTGGGTAAATGACCTTGGAGAGCCGTATCTGGCCCCCGGGCCTTAGTTTGAGGACCCCTGTTCTGGAAGATATACTAGAAATACAATATGAGATGTTAATGAAACTACTTACCTGCACAACTAGGAAGTGTACTGTTACGCTTTTGTTGTAACTTGCCCTGCTGTACTGGAACTCCACAGCTTACTGAATAACTATTCTCGGAGTCTGAACAAAATGACAACACCATAAAATATCCAAATTAATTCATCCGTACTTTTCTACGCCAATTCATTTTTTTATAATACCAAGGCATTTTTGAGAGAAGTCATGGTTTTATTCAGGTAGTTTAGTGACATAGAAAATTGTTAGTCAATATGGCACCAAAAAAAAAAAAAAGATAAACCATACTACTCCCCCTCAAGAAAAACCCAACTGCCCACCACTGACTTCTTTTCACACACAAAGAAAGAAAAATGTAAGATGGATCTCAGTCAGTAAGATCTATTGCACGTTTACATCAGTTATAGTCTTCAATATATTATAATCTAGAAAAAAAACAAGAATTGTGCATGAAGCTACAAATGAACTTAACTAGATAGAGAAAAAATAAAATAAAAACATGATGCACAGTACCAACCTGGGACAAAAAGTGTGTTGGATGGACAAGATAAGAAGCAGCTCTCCATTCCTCCTGATTTGCTGCAGACCAGCTGAGCCTTTGGAGCTGGTTTGGCATTTGGCAGGCATTTCACCGTCTCTGAGGAAACAAAAATAGGACATCATTTGCTCAAATAACTGCAGAGTATTCTAATGGACTTGTGAACTTTTTCAAGTAGAAAGGGAAAAACGGAAAAAAGAAACTTGAGAAAGCACATAAGCCTAAGGCTAGTAATAAATGTAGTGGAAACAATGTCTAAACATGCCTGAGACGATCCTTTGCCAAGACAATTCAGATGAAAATCCAGATCCTCTGAGCTCCGGTAAGAAGGCAAAGATTGGTAAACTCCATTTCAGAGTCCATTTTGATTCCTCCCTTCTCCACAAAAAGAGTTGACCAGTTACGTTTTTATAATCTCCTCTTTCCTACCTTCTCTACAAATAAGCGATAAATCAGAAGCCCCTCCTAGGGTTTGACAGCTGCTAGGTAGTAGAAAGATATAGAACCTATCCACTGTCTATTCTACAAATTGAGAAAGGAGCTGAAAGATCCCCAAGATGAAATTATGTGTTGTTATCAATAATGAACATATATTGTCTAATAGATAGAAACTACTAAGCCTAAGCCCATTAAAACAGATTGTTAGGGATTCCCCATCTTCAGAGGAGGAAGGGGAGCAGGGAAGTGCTCAGGAATTGGGGGGAGAAGAAGAATCAGACAATGAGGGTTTGAAAGTGCCCACATTTCTAGAGAGACGAAAAGAGACAGAGCACAGATGGTGTTCTGCTAGGATAGCTGCTAAAAACACTGAGCTAATTGGGAGATGCCCTAGTACCTCCTGCGTGGGGAATTCAGCGCTATAAATCAGCAGCAGGAGTAGTCAGCTTTGCTGGTAACAAGAACCCTGATACCAATGTTTTCACTCCTATGGAATCTGCTTTGTGTCTGCTGCTAAGAACTTAGTTCATCATCCATTGTATGATGGAAGACTAGTGTTTCTTTTGGGACATTGTAAGATACTTTAATTTGTGTCTGGATTAAGACTTCCTTGTTTTATTTTGCACTTTTCAATTGCATTTGCTTATCCTTTCTGTTTGCAGAAGTAAAGCATTTTCTTTTACTTTCAACATTGAATAAAGGCTATTTTTGAAGAGCAACTCAGGACACAGCTCCACTGGCTGCCGATAAGTTTTTAATCCCAATTCAAAGTGCAGGTTATTATCTATAAAGCCCTAAAAAGTTTGGGTTCTGTCTATCTTCGTGATCACATCCCCCCCCCCCTTTGAACCGGAGCAGGCTCTAAAATCCTCCTCTTGGTCCTGCTACCATTACAAGTGCGGTTAGTGGGGACGAGGAATGGGGTCTTTTCGGTGGTGGCTCCCCGGCTTTGAAATGCCCTCTCCAGGGAGATTAAGTAGGCCCCCACACTGTCCTCTTTCCATAGAGACCTGAAGACCTGGTTGTTCAAACAAGCTTCTGATAACTCCTAGTCCTTATTTGTTCTATGCAATAGTTATGCAGCCTTGCACTTTATTCCATGCCCTCATTCTATGGTTACAGCTCTGCACTTATTCCATTCTGATTTCCTATTTTTTACAGCCTGGCCACATCTTATAGTAGCTTATTGCCATTTGGTTGATGAGCACTGTTTAAATTGAGTTTAAAGAAAAGAAAATCCTGAAAATTCAAATCTCATTCACAGTTCTAAGAATAACCAGTAGGTGTCTCCAGTACCCATATATTTAAACGATTTGCATCTTAAAATATGTATAGGGAATGTATGAAATTATATAATCTGGATTATATCCCGAGTAGGTCACTAAACCAAATTGAAACTTTTGTACCAGATGTAAAATGCATTTCATTGAGATTATTTTCATTTACAGCCATACTTATGAAATAACTGCTATAAAAAACTGTAATAAAATAGCATCTATCTATCTATCTATCTATCTATCTATCTATCTATCTATCTAAATAAAAATGTAATGTTCGTTTGTGGGATTAACATAACTCAAAAACCACTGGACGAATTACCACCAAATTTGGCAGCTAAACATATTATAATCCAATCTATTTCTTTCAAACAAAAAACCCTTTAAAAATGAAGGGGAAATAACTTAAAACTCCCCAAAAAGAAAAATACCTTACAGAAGATGGCAAAAGCCCTCCCGAGCGCACAAGAAGAACGACGCACCAACCATTGTGAGAGAAGAGAAACCTAGCCGTGGAGTCCCTTTCCGTGCATGAAGGCAGAGTCCTTTTTCTTTTGGGGAGGGGAGGGATTGAGGAAAGGAAAGAGGGAAGGAAGGAAGGAGAAAGCCTTACCGAAGGAGGGCCTGGAGGCTTGGCGATGCAAGCCCCGGCAACAGCTGGAGCCACCGTAGTGCTTCCTTGAGGCCGTGGCCACTAGGCAACCCCTCCCCCAAGACCAGAGGATTGCAAGGCAAGCTGGGCTGCATGAGTGGCTGCCCACTGTGAAGGAGCTGGCCTTACCTGCTTCGGGAGCCAAGCACGTGTGCACAGCCCCACGCACACACATACACACACACGGGCTTCCTTCCAACTGGATGGCCATAAGTTGGGAGGGCTTAAATTGTGTCTTCCTTTCCAGCCAAAGGAGTTTGGTCTGCATAGCCTTTGGGCCTCCCTTCCAACTGGACAGCCATCTGTCGGGAGGCTTTGGAGCCGAGAGGTCTGTTGCGTAGAGGCACTGAAGCCGCAGGCCCACTTCCATTGTTAAAGAAGCCTCACCAGCAGTCAAAATGGCAGAGTTGGCGGTTGAATTTTGGGGAAGCTGCAATTGCAGATCTTGGGAGGTGCAGAGCCCAACAAGGTAAAGATGGCCTTGAACCAGAGGAGAGAGGGAGGCCGGGGAGGGAGTCCAGGGAGGGCGGGGGATTGCTGGGAAGAGGCTCTTTGATACTGTGCATGGAAGGACAGGCATGGGAAACCCTTTGGAAGGGGCCCCAGAGGCCATCCAGTCCGAACTCATTTTGCAGTAACGGAAGACACCATGAAAGCCGTCCTGACAGATGGCCATGCAGTTGGAACGGAGCCCCAAAGGCCATCCAGTCCAACTCCCTTTGATCATAAAAGAAGACGCCATTAAAGCCTTCCCTCGGCCACAGCAACACAAACCCAGCTCTTTCTCTTTTCGTTCATTACCATTAAACCACACATGGCCACAGCAACTCGTGGCTAGGTACGGCTAGTGTGTGTGTGTGTGTGTGTGTGTGTATAATTCATGTCATTTATGCTCATCACTTCCAGGAAAGGAAGGGATGCATCTTAGGAAAATGAAGCGAAAATGTCCAAAATAAAATGAGTAATTTACAAATTAAAGAGATCATGCCAAACATGAGAGGGGACTCGGGGTGGCTTACAAGGGACAAGCCGAAGATTACAACTAAAACACACAAGTAAAACACTTTAACCAATTAAAACATCAGATAAAATAAATAAGAGCACAATTGAAAGCAATACAAAAATATATAAAATATTATGCATACCATTTTACGCACCATCAAATCTAATGTGCACCTTAATTTTAGCAAGGTAATTTAGCCAAAAAGTTAGTGTTAGAATAAATATGGTATTCATGTAGTCTTAACCTCGTTTAATGAAAATATCAGGAGTGAAGTAGTGCTGTAGATAACTATCTCTGAAAATGAAAAGGGAAGAAAGTGCCATGCAAAAGTGAGAAGTAGAAAAAGAAGCTGCAAGGTGATCCATCGGATCTTCAGGGTAAAAATATTGAATGATAATAATAATAATAATAATAATAATAATAATAATAATTTTATTTCTTACCCGCCTCTCCTCACGGATCATGGCGGGTTACAACACTGAAGTGACCAGAGCTAAACTGGAAGATAATCCTATATGTAATCATATGTACATATGAACTTTATTTATTTCTACTCTCTTCTTTAGTGCAAAATGTGTATGAAGAACAAAATATTACTTACCAATACAATCTTTTTTATTCCAGTGCAACTTCTTCCCAGGAGGACATACACATTCATAGGTTCCCATTGTATTAAGACATCCGTAGTCACAGCTCCCATTGCTGATGCTGCATTCATCAATATCTGAAAGTATATTTAAATGGATTACTCCAGTATTGCAGGAGTGAATTATAATATACACAAACACTGGGACTGTGGCGCAGCTAGCTGGGAGTCAGCTGCATTAAGATCACTACTGGCCAAAAGGTAATGAGTTCGAAGCCAGCCCGGGTCGGAGTGAGTTTCCGACCAATTTTGTGTAGCTTTCTGTCGACCTTTGCAGCCCAAAAGACAGCTGCATTTTTCAAGTAGGAAATTTAATTACCACTTATGCAGGGAGGCAAATTTAACTAATTTACGAGGCCATAAAAATCTCCAGCAAGCATGCAAATAATGAGCAAGTACTTCATCAGTGTCACAAAGGGTCGGTGAAGGGACAGCTCCCCCGGTGGCCAGAATACCCTCAAGAAAAGCTGGAAAGTTAAATAGCTTCTGTGTGTCTGTCTATATATGCTGTGTGTCTATGGCATTGAATGTTTAGCATGTATATGTACATTGTAATCCGCCCTGAGTCCCTTGCAGGGTGAGAGGGGCAGAATATAAATACTGCAATTAAATAAAAAATAAATATTGGAAAAATCCTAAATTATATATATGAATACCGATATAAATACTGGATAAGCTATAACGCTATGTACATTATCTGAGTGTATCCCTTCATTTTATTCTATCCCTCTCCAAAATTTCTATCCTGTTTACATGTCACCTGGTCACGCCCAGCATTATTTGTTTAATTTTTAATTAGTACATTTGGCCCTGCCATAGGTTTTTAAACGCCGTATTACTGTTAATGTTTATTGCTATTTTCTGTTTATGAGTTTTATTTATTGTTTGTATTACTGTTGCTATTGTTTTTATTGTTGTATTGTGGGCTCGGTCTCATGTAAGCCACACCAAGTCCCATGGGGAGATGGCAGCAGGGTACAAATAAAGATTATTATTATTATTATTATTATTATTATTATTATTATTATTATTATTAGTTCTGAGAATCCCCCAACCAGTATGGCCACTGGTCATGTTGTGTTGATGGATGTTCTACAACTGAAATCCAAAAGATAACTTCTGAAAGTGATTGATATCTTCATTTTGACTGCCTGATATAAAGAAAGTAGTAATGGGTCAAATGTATAACAATATGAAATTAATATGACTGTCACATGTATTCTCAAAACATTAAGGAGTCACTGCAATCAGTCCAAAGTTGCTGGGTGATAAGAGTCAAACAGAACAGATGGTAGTGTGCATTTACAGAATGCTTCTGAATTATGTAAGTAACTAAAAAAATTGAAGCTAAATCTATACAGAAATGCTGTTGGTCAGTCAAAAGGCAGATCTGGAAGGAGGAGTTGAATGTGTACTGGATGGAGTTATATTTCCTTTCAAAAGTGGGCTCGAAGTTTCCCGAACCTCCTTCTCAGGTTATGGACGGAGGTCAGGAGCGTTTTTCTAAAATTAAAGGCTTCATCAACAGTTGCTTTTAATTTGTGTTATACTGGTAATGATCTATTGAATCTATCCTATCCATCTATCCTATCTTTCTCCAAACACAAGTCCTAGAATGTCAAAATAATACATATTAGGTAAAGGTAAAAGTTTTCCCCTGACATTAAGTCCAGTCGTGCCCGACTCTGGAGGTTGGTGCTCATCTCCATTTCTAAGCCAAAGTGCTGGCGTTGACCGTAGACACCTCTAAGGTCATGTGGCTGGCATGACTGCATGGCCGGCATGACTGCAGATTGTGAAGCTCTCAAAGAAATCCAAGGAGAAGCAAGCTTGAGGCTTAGAAACAGTGCATTTGGAGCATCCTCCTCCCCTAAAGGGCCTGGTCTAGGGGATGCTGGGAGTTGTTGTTCTTGCGCATGCGCTGTATCATCATTTAGCTTTTTTGGGTTTTTAAGTCCTTTCCGCTATGTTTTTGGAGGGGGTGTTATGAGTGATGGTCACTCATTGGCCTGATAGGTGTATTGTGTCCACATTTTGTGTCAATTTGTCCAGTGGTTTTTGAGTTATGTTAATCACACAAACGAACATCAAATTTTTTTTTATATAGATAGGAGTTATTTCCACGTTGTGAATTAAGAGTCATACTAAGATTGCTAAATCCCCCAGGTTATTTTCTTGCTGCAATTCCTAAATGTTAAAGAAGAACCTAGTCACATGTAAAAGTAACACAAAATAATAAAACTTTTCAAACCTCCACAGTGTGTCATTCCATACAATGTGTAACCTTTATGACATAGGCATTCAAAACTTCCCGGATAGTTGATACAGGTATGGTCACAGGTCCTTTCAAATGAGCATTCATCTATATCTAGATTGAGGGCAAGAAGGAAAAATGCTTGTGAGCAGTCGTGCAAGTTTGGTAATTGTAATGCAGCACCAATGTTCAAAACGCATTTCTGAATAATTGGTGACAAACTGGAAAGGTGAACGCAAGACATAGAAGTGTTTGCCAGCACATTAAACAAATTTCCTATTATAAATGCTTACAGATATATTTCATTACACACACACACACACAGAAAATCTCTCCATGTGATGATGTTGCTCCAGCAGACTCTTCAAGATTTCCTATAACTGGGGGAAATGCAACATGCAGCTGTACTTAGTTAATTACGAAATAAGTTGAATATATTGAAACTGTCTACCAGCAATGCATGCTTTCACCACAGAGTGTCACCCCTGTACCTCTGTCCACCATCAGAACTTAAATGTAATTTTAAGTAGTCGGCTGCACTCCTTATTTTCATGAGAGGACTCAACAACCATACATTTCTCTTTCTTAGCTTTACAAGAAAATTAAACAAAGACAAAGTTGACCCAATAAAGAAATTGTGCCATGATAACATACGCACTGTGCCTTTTCCAAACAGATTTCATATACTGTATATACTCGAGTATAAGTCTAGTTTTTCAGTCCTTTTTTTAGGCTGAAAAAGTCTCTTCCGGCTTATACTTGAGTCAAGGTCATTTATTATTTTACTTTGTTGTTATTATTATTACATTTATTATTGTTGTTGTTATTGTTACATTTATTATTTTACTGTATTGTTATTATTACATTTATTATTTTACTCTATTACTACTGTTATTATTACATTCCATTATTTTACTCTATTATTATTATTATTATTATTATTATTATTATTATTATTATTATTATTATTATTATACTCTATTATTACTGGAGGACATGTTAGCATATTTACATTGAAGAAGGTTAGAATAATGGTTTAATCAGAGTTGGCCAGTCTTATCTTGAATTACAGTTTTATGTAAATATTCAAAAACATTTAACCTACTGATGCCTAAATTAATATAATTTTATTGGTATCTATTTTTATTTTGAAATTGACCAGTAGCTGCTGCATTTCCCACCCTCGGCTTATATTCGAATCAATCAATTTCCCCAGTTTTTTGTGGTAAAATTAGGTGCCTCGGCTTATATTCGGGTTGGCTTATACTCGAGTATATACAGTACATTGATAATCACACTAGTGAGTCCCAGGACCTCTCTGGAAGAACAGCAAAGGTCCCTCTGCTGAACTACACATACCAGAATTCTGCAGGTGAAAGCTACATGATTTCAGATAGGATGTATAGTCTTTGCCTACTCTTTAAGCTCTAGTGTGATGTTGGTCATGGTGACCTCCATCAATAAAAGTTAGTCCTTATAATTGCTCAATATTAAGAATAGAGAATTGAAACTAAAGGTCCTCAACACATGCATTAAAACCTGAGAGGAAGCAGGTTAAAAGGGGGATGGGTAGCTAAATGACGTTTAGCCAAAGTAAGGGAGGAATCGGGAGGAGCCGGAGGTTTAGCACAGCTGGTAAATCATCAGCAATTATAAGCTCTATCAACCAAAAGGTTGCAAGTTCGAAGCCCCGGGTTGATATGAGCTGCCAACTTTTAGCCTAGCTCATTGTTTACTTAAGCAATTTGAAAACAGTTCTAGCTGTGATTAGAGAAATTAGGTACCGCTAAAAGGGGGGAAGGTGTTTTATGACGCCATAAAGAAAAAAGATCAGAAAATGCTGGGCGACCAAAAAGAAGGAGGAAGTCCTGACGGATAGAGCAACAGCACCCCCTGGACTCGAGCCCAACCTTTCATGGCACCTCCTTCTGTTCTGTCTGTCTGTGTATTGTCTATACATAGCAGAATTGAAAGTTTGCCGTGTATGTGTATTGTGATCTGCCCTGAGTCCCCTTTGTGATGTGAAAACCGGAATATAAATAAAGTGTTGTTGTTTTTGCTGTTATTATTATTATTATTATTATTATTATTATTATTATTAATTGGGTTAAAGACTGGAAAATATATGTTTAAAAGGTGCCCTTTAAACCTGGTTCTTCCTGAGAAACATGCACAAGTGGAAAGGCCATGATCCCAAACTGGTTTACATCACCAGCACATCAAATTGGGCCAGGAAATACACTGATGACTGATACAATTGGTACAATATTGGAGTTATATGTTTGGAATAAGCTACCTTCTTTCTGTCCTAGACTGAGTCTCCAAACACATAGCATGTAACAGTACTATGTTTATGTGTTTAAAATATCCTGTAATTTGCCCTGAGCCACGAGGAGAGGTGGAAAAGAAATAGAATTGTTGTTGGGTTGTTGTAGGATTTTTCGGGCTGCATGGCCATGGTCTAGAGGCATTCTCTCCTGATGTTTTGCCTGCATCTATGGCAAGCATCCTCAGTTGTTATTGTTCCAGTCAACAGGTTCCAAACATCATAGGTACTTCTGTTTTAGTTATGGATATCTATAATCTATTCAAGTAATCTGGGGGAATAAACCCTACTCAAAATGAGTCGGCCTTTCATACTTTGTTAAACAGTTAATAGAGTTCAGATGACAACAAATCTGCAACACCACTGCTTTCATATAATGTAGCAATTATTCAATTAATGCATTTATATATGATAATGCAGTTGTGTTAATGAGATCTCACACAAGCTATGGAAAAACGTGAACCGGGACTGTGGTACAGCTGGATGGGAGTCAGCTGCATTAAGATCACTACTGACTGAAAGATCATGAGTCCGAAGCCAGCCCCGGGTCGGAGTGAGCTTCCAACCAATTTGTGTAGCTTGCTGTCGATCTTTGCAGCCCAAAAGACAGTTGCATCTGTCAAGTATGCAACTGTCTTATAAAGTATGCAACTGTCTTATAAAGTATAAAGTGCTTCCCAAAAGCACTTTATATTGATTTAGGACTGCTTGTATTTCTCCATCAACGCCCCATCTCCTGCATCTTGTCCATGCCTAGCATTATTTTTAAACCTCAATTACATTTGGCCCAGCCATAGTTTTAAATGTGCACTGTACCTTATGTTTATGCTATTTGTGTATGCAATTTATTTTTAACTGCTTTGTATTGTACCTGTTATTGCTTGTATTGTTTGTATTGCGGGCTCGGCCTCATGTAAGCCGCACCGAGTCCCTTGGGGAGATGGTAGTGGGGTAAAAATAAAGTTTTGTTATTATTTATTAGGGCTGGGCAACCACGGAAAAATTTGTTTCTAAAATCAATTCGTTTTTTGGGGGTTTTTGCGTTTCGATTTTTAAAAGAATTCTGAAATTTTTCTTTTAAAAAGTTCGATATTTACAAAATTTCGTAAATTACAAAACAATACGAAACAATTACGAATCAATTCGTTAATGGCGGACGCGACCCCTCCAAATGGGACAGGGAGAACTTCTGAAGCTTCCCTCTCCCTCTGTTGTTGACAGTTGGTGTGATATTTATAATTTTTTTTCACTGATTAAACAAACAACAACTATAAAACTTGCCCCAGACATACGGAAATAATAACGAAACGATTTCAAAACGATAATGAAACGAATACAAAACGAATCCGAAACAATTACGAAACGAAATTAAAAATTCGTTCCGTTTTTAGTTGCTCCTGAATGGTTCGTTATCGCTTCGTTATAAAAAAAAAATAACGAATTTTTAACAAATTACGAAATTACGAAACGAAACCGACCAGCCCTATTATTTATTTATTATTAAGTAGAAAATTTAGGTACCGCGTATGCAGGGAGGCAAATTTAACTTATTTATGACACCATAAAAATCTCCAGCAAGCAAGCAAAGAATAAGGAAGTACTTCATCAGTGTCACAAATGGATGGAGAAGCGACAGCTCCCTTGGTGGCCAAAATACCCTCATCAAAAAGCTGGAATGTTAAATAGCCTCTGTATGTCTGTCTATATGTTGTGTGTCTGTGGCACTGAATGTTTGCCACGTATATGTACATTACAATCCTCCCTGAGTCCCCTGCGGGGTGAGAAGGGCGGGATATAAATATTGTAAATTAAATAAATAAACTTGCCTTCAAGTTGGCGGACTGTATCATGCACAACAATTACAATCTCCTGTTCTTTTAAATTATCTGTTAGTTTTCATTTACATGGAGTAAAGTGTGAAATATTCTTCTTCTTCTAGTTTTCTCCTACCATTTGTCAACGGAATGTTGGTGGACAGGAAAAGAGATTTAAAGATGGGCTCAAAGCCAACCTTAAAATCTCTGGCATAGACGCTGAGAACTGGGAAGCCCTGGCCCTTGAGCACTCCAGCTAGAGGTCAGCTGTGACCAGCAGTGCTGCAGAATTTGAACAGGCACGAATGGAGAGTGAAAGAGAGAAAAGTGCCAGGAGGAAGGCGTGTCAAGCCAACCCTGACCAAGACCGCCTTCCACCTGGAAACCAATGCCCTCACTGCGGGAGAAGATGCAAGTCAAGAATAGGGCTCCACCGATCCTGGAAGACTATCCTACTCATCCAACGAGGGATCACCCAAGTAAGTAAGTACCATTTGTCATTTAGAGTGCCAAAAAAACATTATTAGAACAACAGGATGGTCAGATATAAAAAACAAAACAAATTGTTTTTTCCAGGACAAACTATTGAGTAATAGTTGACTATACATTCCCATTACATTCATATTATTTAGAAAATCATAATCATTATTTTTTAAATGAATAGAAATAATGTCAGTGGTAGCATGAATGAAATGAAGTGGAAAAGAATGACACACTGGGGAATGAACTTCTGTTCTCCAGCAATCTAATATGTGTGAGAAAATTACTTGGCAAAGAAAAATATACATTTTTTTCTGTAGGAAAAGCATACTTTTTTCAGAATAGTGACATGCTTCACACTCAAAATATTCAATCAAATACATTCATGAAAAAAGCCCACACTACACTTTTGAAGTCAATGGCCATGTGTCTATTAATGGGTCTATTTGAAAATTGTGCACAAAATACAGTTTTTGTTACATATTAAAATCTGC